TGCTATGGCTTGGGCATAGTGGGCACACGCCTGCCCACGTGCGAGCAAGGCCCAGATCCATGGGGTCAGGTGAGGCCAGGCCAGGCCTGGGCCCGTCAGCAAGGGAATGGGAGCACCGCAGCCCCCGCTCGGCAGCCAGCCGGCTCCCGGGGATGGCGCCGGCTTCATCTCGGTGGTGAGAACAGCTAATTTGCTGTAAATGGCAAAGCAGCCCCCAGGCAGCCTTAATGAGCCGCAGCTAACGAGCTGGGACAGGACCTGCTGCTCCAGAGAGCTGCTTTGGAGCCCCCTGCCCCCACGGTGCAGCTGCGGCTCTGCCCCCACAACCCCTGGAGCCGCTCCCTGGGCCACCCCCACCCGGGACACCCCCGGGCCTGGCCCCGGCCTCGCGCTCACTGTGGGTGCAGAGCTCGCTGGTGCAGTTGCGGGTCTCCAGCTCGGGGCCCTGGCACTCCTGCCCGCCGTTTCGAGGTGCTGGCTCCGAGCACTCGCGGCTGCGCCAGTGCGTGCAGTCCAGGCCGCACACCGACCACTTGCTCCACTCCGACCAGCCGCCATCCACTGTATGGGGACACGCTGTCAGCTGGGCCTGAGCCCTGCGGCCCCCATGCCCCGGTGCGGACACCGCCCCAGGTGCTGCTGCAAGAGGCCTGGCTTGGGGCTGCCCCTTTGCTCCCCCTGCCTGGTGCAGCAGGGCTGGGGTCCCAGGGCCTGGGGGCCCGGCTGAGACCCCTACCCTCCAAGGTGCTGCCCAGCGGGGCCCAGCAGCAGCCCTCGACCGCCACGGGGCAGGATGGAGACAAGACACATGGGGGTTGGGGACGACACAGCCGGGGAAAGGGGAGAGAGGGGCACAGAGCAGGGAACCCCGGGCCAGGGCTGCAGGGTCGACTTCGGATGCATCCTGTCAGGCCCGGAGTGGGGAGGAGAGGCCGTGGGGGCACTGGTGGAGCTGGGAGGGAAGCTAGGGCTGCGGGGCACCAGCAAAGCCACGCGTGTCCACTGTGCCTGGATCCAGCCCTGGGCACCCAGGCCCAGCCTGCCTGAGTTTGTCTCCGCCACGCTGGCATAGCTGGAGCTGCCAGGCCCGGCGGGTACCTGGGCACAGGGTGGTGCAGGCACTTTTCTGCAGGCTCTGGCCTTCGCAGGTGGCCCCGCCGTTGAGGGGCGTCGGGTTGGTGCAGCTCCGGCTCCGCTTCTGCCAGCCGCGGCCGCAGGAGGCGCTGCAGGCCGACCACTCTGTCCACGTCGACCAGCCACCGTTCACTGCAGGCACAGGCACGCGTCACCCGCGCCGGCCCCACCACCCCGCGGGCCCTGCTCCAGGGAGGGTTGGGGGGCAACGGGGTGGGGGCAGACACGGGGAGACGGGGGAGACACGGGGGGGGTCGCACGGGGCCGTACCATAGACAGTGATGGCGGCGGAGGCGCTGCGGCGCCGCGCCACGATGTTCTTGGCCACGCAGGTGTAGTTGGCCGTGTCAGCCAGGCGCGCCTGCCGCAGCACCAGGCTGTGCTCGGGCGTCACGTCCACGTTGGCGTCCAGCGCCGGGTCCACCAGCTCCTCGTTGCGCAACCCCTCCACCTGCGGGCACCGGGACGTCACCGGGGCCCTGCCACGTCCCAGCCTGCTCAGGCCAGACCCCGACGTGCCCCTGGCCTGGGTTGCTGGGCCCGGAGAAGGGCGGCAGAGCAGACACAGCCCCCCACGCTGCCGGCCACGGGTGAGCAGGGTGCACAGTCACAGGCCTGGGAGGGACCCTGGGCTGCCCCATCCAGCCCCAGCCCTGATGCCAGGTGCACGGCTCCCAGCCCAGCCCAGCCCAGCCCAGCCCAGCTAGATACCTCCAAAGAAGATGCCCTGTGATGCGCCCAGATCCGCTCTGACCCCGCCCTACCCTGTCCTCTGCGCCACCTGCGGCCTCACATCTTCCTCCGGAGCTGAGCCCACCCAGGCTTGCAAATGCCCTGCCGCACACTCACCTCGGCTGGTGGGATACCCTCGGGGGGGCGGCAGGGCAGCACAATGCCCTGGTCGATCGGCACCTCCTTGGCTGCCGGCTCCTGCTCAAAGTTCTTCCGCAAGTCTGGAAAGCAGCACGGGCAGCATGAGAGCTGGCACAGTCAGGCCCCAGCCCAGCCCTGGAGACCCCACCAGTGCCACACGGGCCCTGCGCTGCCCAGGCCGGAGGACACAGGCCACGGCTCAGGCCTGGCACGGGCGGGCGCCGCGGGGAGGCACTCACAGGCGATGCGCACATAGGCCTTCTGGCTCTTGGTGGTGCCCGAGGAGCTCCAGGCAACGCACTGGCACCAGTACTCCTCCAGCCCAAAGATCTTCTCCACCTGCTGCCGGGAGATGTCGATGCGGACCTCCATCACGGGCAGCCCTGGGCGGGGGGTCTCATCAGGCGCGGCCGCCACGGCCAGGCAGGCTCGGGGGGCTGGCGGAGCCACCCCTGCCCACCCAGCCGCCCGCCCGCCTCGCTGCCCTGGCGACCCTGTGCCCTGGGGCTGAGCCCTGACCGTTCCCCAGGCCTCGCCTGGCTCCCTGCCCAGCTTGGGGGCGAGTCTGCCTGGCTCCCCTGGGCACAGTGGCCTGGTGTGGGAGACAGGGCAGGACCCAGCTGTGCTCAGCCTTCGGTCGCAGACCCCTGCCCAGCACCCCCCACTCTCTGCGGGGAGCAGACATTTCAGCCCCTGGGGGCACTGGGGCCCTGTGGTCCGGCAGAGGTCATCCCCAGTCCAGCCCCTGCCGAGGCAGGATCAGCCCTGGCCAAGCCAGCGCCCACGAGGCGTCAGGTAAAGCCTACAGAAGCCAACCGTCAACCTTGGCACAACACGGGCCTCGCAGCCGAGCCGGCCGCGTCCTGCTGCCTTGCCACGCTGTCAGTGCACGCTCGGGGGGCCTGGGCACAGGCTGTGCCCCACTACAGAGGGAAGCAAGCCCCTCCCGGCTGGCACCATCCTGAGCCTTCCTGACCCCAACCGCGGCACCCGCCAGAGCCAGACCCTTGGCACCGCCCGCACGCCTACCGGAGCCACGGTCGGTGCTGTGCTGGGTGACGTGGTCGCCCTGGTGCACCCACTCCCCGTTGCACTTGAAGTAGATCTGGGTGGCGGGGGTGGCCCGGCAGGCCAGGCTCACGGGCTTGTTCTTCACGATGTACACGTCGGCCGGCTCCAGCAGGAAGCGGGGCAGCAGGTCCGAGGCGGCCCCGGGCAGGGGGTTGGCGGCCGTGGCGCTCTGCTGCGCGCCTGCGGGGACACGCGGCGTCAGGGCCCGCAGCACCG